GGATTACCGCCCAAGTTGTTTGCTGGCCATATAGTGAATATGGGCATTATGTTTACTAGTAGTGAATGTTGAATGTTAATGTTATTATTAATGTTTATATGACACTCTAAGATCTTTAATGTATAAGTTTCTGAAATTTGTGTTTTCTTCTTTATTTATATGCATGCAAATTATGATGAAGAAAACAAATTATGTTATTATTATTTTAAAATGATATTATGTTTGAACCCATTATGGACTTCTCATTATAAAGTCATATTAAGGAGAAAGAGATAATATAGTGGTACATGGAAGGGAGCCTGTCGATTGAATGATATGTAACCGCCATGACTCTTGTTATAGCTGTATCTTTAATTATGAATAATGATAGAATCAATTTATGTAAGGTCCTTTAATGCGCATTATGACTTAAGTATTAAGTCACATAATTTTGTGATATCACATGAGTCAAGTGGGAGAATGTTAGAATTAATTTAATTAATTCATTCCATTTATGTGATTCATGTGAAATAAAATAATGGGCCCAAATGTGATTTAATAATTATAAGGACCTATTGGTTATTATGTGAAGTCAGAATAAAATAAAGATAAAATAAAATATTAACTGAAAGTAACCAACTCGATGGACGTTGGTTAATAAAAGGGATTAGGGTTCTGTCTCTGGCCATAAGGTTCTTTTCACGGTAAACCATCAAGAAAGAAAAGTGAGAAGAGAAAGAAAGGCAAAGAGATAGATTGGGAAAAGGAGATTAGAGAACAAAAGATTAAGAAAGGATTCTCATGGATCAAGGTTAGTTCTCTTACTATGATTTATGTATTGACGTAATGCAAATGTGAAAATCAATAATCTAAAGATCCTGTAGAGTAGTTTTCTATAATGAATTAATAACGTAAGAAAATTACATAAAGTTTTACATCCAACTCCTATAACTACACACATTCAACCATTGTATGAAGCACATTATTCACTTAATCATCGTTTTTTTTTTAAATCCCGAAATCCAATTTGAGATCGCATTAAGTAATGGCATTTACATTACCTCTCGAGTTTGTGACAAAATTATAAAAATATTAACAAAAATAAGTAATAAACTTTTAGAAGTAGATGAAATCAGATACACACTTAATAATTAACTTTGACTATAAAAAAAATACTCTACCCATCTCTGAATGCATCAAAGGCTTGTTGCATTTGTATTTTTTCCCATCGATAATGATTTCCTTATTTAAATATCATATGCATAAATATTATTTAATTTATAAGTTAAATATTTTAAATGTGTTACAAATGTCACATGGGGATGTAGCTCAGATGGTAGAGCGCTCGCTTAGCATGCGAGAGGTACGGGGATCGATACCCCGCATCTCCAACTTCTATTTTATTTTTTACTAACTTTTTTTAATATTAATATAAAAAAAATCCTTCGTTCTGATCCATGCACTCACAACCTTTCTTCATTCATGGAAGCCATTCTGAAGCTCAATGTCACTACTCAAGTCAACAACCCTTCTTTCCAAACCTTGTTCCACCATCACCATCAATTCTCTACAATGTGGAACCTTGCTGCAATCACTCACCAACTCCAAATCCTTAACCCAAGCCCAGCAACTCCACGCCCACGTCACCACCGGCGGCATCCTCCGCCACAACACATACCTCGCCACCAAGCTCGCCGCATGCTACGCTGCCTGCGGCCACATGGCCCATGCTCAACTCATCTTTGACCAAATTGTGCTAAAGAACTCGTTTCTCTGGAACTCAATGATCAGGGGCTACGCCTGCAACCACTCACCCTCTATGTCCCTTGTTCTTTACCGTGAAATGTTGCGTTTTGGACAGAAGCCTGACAATTTCACCTACCCTTTTGTCCTCAAGGCCTGTGGGGACCTTCTGCTTCGCGGAATTGGTAGAAAGGTCCACGCTTTGGTCGTGGTTGGTGGGTTGGAGGAGAATGTTTACGTGGGGAACTCGATACTTTCGATGTACTTTAAGTTTGGTGACGTGGCAGATGCGCGGTTGGTGTTTGATAAAATGGCTGTGAGGGATTTGACTTCTTGGAACACCATGGTGTCGGGTTGTGTGAAGAATGGTGAGACTCGGGGTGCTTTTGATCTTTTTGGGGAGATGAAGAGGGTTGGTGTTGTGGGAGATGGGACCACCTTGCTTGCTCTTCTCTCTGCTTGTGGGGATGTTATGGATTTGAAGGTGGGGAAAGAGATTCATGGTTATGTTGTTAGGAATGGCGGGAATGGGAGAGTGTATAATGGGTTTTTGGTGAATTCAATTATTGACATGTACTGCAATAGTGAGTCTGTATCTTGTGCAAGGAAGTTGTTTGAAGGATTGATAGTGAAGGATGTTGTGTCGTGGAATTCTTTGATATCTGGGTATGAGAAACGTGGGGATGCTTTTGAAGTTCTTGAGCTTTTTGGTCGGATGGTTGAGGGAAGTGCAGTGCCGGATGAGGTAACTGTGATTTCTGTGCTGGGGGCTTGTAATCAAATCGCGGCTTTGCGATTGGGCACGTCTGTTCATTCGTATGTTGTTAAGAGGGGCTATGGAGGGAATGTAGCTGTTGGAACTGCACTGATTGGCATGTATGCTAACTGTGGGAGTTTAATTTGTGCGTGTTGTGTGTTTGATGAGATGCGTGAGAAAAATTTGGCTGCTTGGACTGTTATGGTTACTGGATTTGGAAATCATGGGAGGGGAAGAGAGGCTGTCTCCATTTTTTACGATATGTTAAGTAAAAATGTGACTCCAGATGAGGGCATTTTCACTGCAGTTTTGTCTGCTTGTAGTCATTCTGGATTAGTGGATGAGGGCAAAGAAATTTTCTGTAGCATTAGCAGAGACCATAATGTAGACCCTGGACCCACTCACTATTCATGTTTAGTGGATCTACTTGGCCGGGCAGGGAATATAGATGAAGCATATGCAGTTATAGAGAGTATGAAATTAGAACCTAATGAGGATGTGTGGACTGCTCTTCTTTCAGCATGCAGATTACATCGAAATGTCAAGTTAGCAGAGATCTCGGCACAGAAGCTCTTTGAATTGAATCCAAATGGAGCGAGTGGCTATGTTTGCCTTTCCAACGTCTATGCTGCTGAGAGACGGTGGAAGGATGTAGAAAATGTGAGGGCATTGGTGAAAAAAAGGAGATTGAAGAAATCACCTAGTTACAGTTTTGTTGAGCTAAATAAGATGGTTCATCAATTTTTTGTTGGGGATACTTCCCACCCACAGTCGGATGATATTTATGCCAAATTGAAAGATTTGAGTGAGCGGCTGAAGAAAGCTGGATACAAGCCTGACACTACTTCAGTTCTCTACGATGTTGAGGAAGAAATAAAGGAGAAGATGCTTTGGGATCATAGCGAGAGGTTGGCACTTGCTTTTGCTCTTATTAACACTGCTCCGGGGACCACAATCAGGATAACCAAGAATCTTCGTGTGTGTGGAGATTGCCACACAGTGATAAAAATGATTTCTAAGCTCACAAATCGGGAGATTATCATGCGAGATATTAGTAGGTTCCACCATTATGTAGATGGCTTATGCTCATGTGGTGAATATTGGTGAGCTGATGGAAATTTGATTAAATAGTAGATAAAATTCAAATGAAGATACAAAAATTATGTCGATGGAAATTTGATAGCTGGAAAAAAGAAGGTACTAATAGGAAGTTGCTTTTGTTATCTTACATGAGCAGATTCTTTTGGATGTTTTGGAATTACACAACGTGGCATCACCAATTCACCATTAGCATTGCAGATGAAACATAACTGTATCCGTAATCTGAAGTGTCTTATTTTGCTCAAAGCCCCAATACTAGGAGACACTTTCTCGCCATACAAGAAGCCTCACTCTCCCAGTACTTGTACAGGAGAAATGTACTCCCTCCTGGCTGTTCTACCAAACGTGTCAAACTCACATTCAACCAGAGACCTTACCTTATCATCCCAACCGTTTTGTCTTGTGGTCAAATAGATGAATCTGATATACTCATTACTAAATAATTTTCTCTGTGCTTCTCTAAAAGTCTTAACAACAGCTATAGCCAAGTAAGTTCTCTAATAGTTGTTATTCACAAACAAAATGCTTTTGAAGCATAGTACCCGATTGTGGTGACAACTGAGATGGAAAGACCAAAGAATGGAAGGATTTTAGAATTCAAAAAGATGTGTTAGAAATAACAGATGAGGGAAATAGGAAGAATGACAGAGATTAAATAATGGAGTGAATGGAGAACTAAAATAAAACGACAGTGAAACATTACAAAATGCAGCGTAGAAATTCAAGTACAGAATCTAAGCCGAATCCATATAATGAATTCCAATTGAAGGCCAAGATCATCCCCGCCCCCCTCAACACACACACCTCACCTTGACCAAGCCGGAAATTTTAACCTTATAGTTTTGGGGAAATTCCATAAAACTTCAGTGTGATGCGTTCTATCTGGTATGCCAAAGAATCATTGCTAATATATGTCATAAATTTTTTATTGCCTATAGTTAGAGATCTGTCTAAAGAAGTTCTAACATATTCTAAGTTCTAACATATTTATTCTTCTCATATGTTAGATACTTCATTATTTCTAAATCTATTTGTCATGGAAAGCTAACTTGTAATAGGATTTTATTCCCCTGGATAAGGTACTTGTAATATAATTTACTGTTACTTGGATTGGGCCATATAAACACTTAATTACATTTGGATAATAATAATAATAATAAGATCAAAACGCAGGTGTAAGTTGATTCTCAAGATGTGCTATGTGAGCAAGTCTCACCATTTTAGAGATGGCTTTTTTGTTTGCTATAATCAGCATTGATGCAAGTTTGATAAAGTAGTTCATTAACTTTATAGACTGGAATACAAGCGAGTATTATTTATTAGTACTGCTAATTTTGGTGGCTGCGTGCTTTATTTATACCCTGACCGGTGGCTATCATTTCCAGCAGATTCTTGAGTTACTCTTAGCACGATTTGGAAATCAACCTTCAATTTTCATGTCTGTCTCTGGAAGCCAGGGGAATGGCGGTATTGGTTTAGTCGCTTCAAGAAGAACCTCAATAGGAATCTTTGGTGCCGATGGCTTTAGTGGTGCTATAACGTGATTGTAGTTTCGAGGGTCTGCACAGTAATCCTGTAATTGGAGGGAAGAGAATTAGGACGGTCCAAGTTAGTTTATGCGTTTGAAGAAAGTTCAAAAATATCATCTTTTAAATGCATAACGGTTGCTCACCTGATCTGCATGCATCTTTAGCACAAATTTTTTGAAGATATCAAAATTTGATTGTTGCTGTAGATCATCTGATAGACGAAGATATGTTACTCCATACATCCTTAATTTTGGAGGGCCGTGTTTGTTGACACCTTGAGGTCTTGCATTCAGTATGATTTGGTTATATGCTGTTGAATCATACCTTGAAAGTGCATTTTCTCCTGCAACTAGGATGTCTTCTCTCCAACCTCCACTCAATACCTGCGCATGTGGTCATGTTTGGCAATTAAACCACTATAACATAGCATTTACCTGCTGAACAAGCTGTAAGCTTGAGAAAAATTCAATGCATTACCTGCTTAACAAGCTCTTGTGGTGCACTTTTGGCATCTGAGCTTTGTTCCGAGTCCCTCATCTCAAGACACGTAAAGTTCAAAATGGCATGATGGCGAGACAGCATTCTTGCAATGGGACGATATCCGTCTCTATCATGAAGGTTGTAATATCCAGCAGTAAGCTCAGCAGCGTGATTTTCAACTTTGTACCACCAGTGAATTCCAGATACCTGTCATCATAGTTAGAGGTTTATCATTTGGCAGAAAATGAAGGAGACTGTTAATTGAGATTCTATGAAGTTTACTTTGATAGCTAATTTGACTCTGCAACCCAAGAAAGCTTTGTTGGCTTCATCTAGGATTTGATCACCATGATTCAGCAATTTGTTTGAATACCAGGTCAAGAAGAACTTCCCTTTCTCAGTGACATATGTGCCTTTTGATTTGAAGAATCCGGTAGATTCTGGGACATCATTGTACTGACCTGCGTCATCTGGCAGTTCCCATTCAGGATGGCCAGCCCTTGCTAAAGCTGCTTTGAAATCTGCCTTCAAATATTTGTCATAGCACTGCAGATTGCAGAATTTCATACTTATGATGATATAGGTGTTCAAATAAAGAAATCCCAGATTGGATGAGAAACAACTTTGTCTGAATGCTTAGATCAGACTCACCTGAAATTCTCCAATACCAGGAAATTCCCATCCTTGACTTTGTGGATAAGAGGGATATCTGAGCTCTCCTGCTGGGCCAAGCCCTACTTCAATGTCTATAATAAGCTCAGATTCTAAAAAATCTGACATGTTTTCTCTGAAACTCTTCATGTAGTCACTGTATATCTGCATACAGCAACAAGTTTAAACATGCTGTATTGTTCCTATATCTGTAAATCTAGAAGTCTATCTGAAACATATCTAGCCTTATTACACAATAAATGAATGTTCAATGAGGACTTGTACTTTCCCACATGGAATGAATATGTTTATCCTATTTTGTTACATGATATTTAATTCTTCATATATGTGATATTGATGAAAAGACAAATATACTCATAATACGTTCATACGTTCTGCTTGGGTAGTTGACAACAAGAATGCTAGTAATAGGCAAGATAATTTTAGTTTTCTTAGTTCACCTCAATGGCTGTTCTTCCATGGAATATAGGCTCGTTGTCCACACCAATAGTTAGATATTCCTTGTTCCTAGTGCCTGAACGATTGGTGTAGAAAATATCCGGATCAGATTCTCCAATGTCAAGCACCCACTTGGGAATTGGGATGTTCACTACATCTCCTACATTCCCTCCACATTGATGGAATGACATAATAGCTTGAAGTTTCAAGCCACAATCCTGAACTAGCTGAAACAAGCTCCTATACGCACTCCAATCATACTGCTTAGGCCCCTTCAGTTCTATGATCCCCCACCACACATCGACCATAACACCATCAACGTCTGCTGCTCTTAGCTTCAAGAGCTGTTCTTTAAGGCCATCTGGGTCTTCCAAAACGTTTTCAACAGTGACAACTCCTAGCTGCAGTAATTTGAAAGAAAAACAACAAAACAAGATATAATTAGCGAGTGTAAATACATTGTATAGTCATTTTGTTTTTGTCTTTATGCTCATACAAATAAACCAGTAGCTTAGGAATTCTCTAGTTTGTGTGCATGACTTACAGGGAGCATGACATAAACTGGAACGTAGTTTTGTAACATGTTTCCGTCGGAAGTGACCATCTTGCTGGTTGCGTTTTTCTGATAAAAATGCCTAAGGAAGTTGCAAAGTTCTCTGATATCTACGGAGAAGAAAGAGGAGATGCAACATAGAAGTTGCTGGTTGATGAAGTCAACATAAGGGGGGCTTTTTATAGGAGGAATAATTGCATAGCCAAAAAAAAGAGAAAAGAATAAAGTAATAAAGAACTTGTGTTGCTCCTGCATTTTTATGACAGATATGACATGGAGAAGTTATGCTTAGGAAAATATTTTTATAAATCAAAGTGAGAAAAAACAAATTGTTCTGCTCCCTATAATTTTAGTGTATTATAATTTTTAAATAATTGTACAAGTAAAAAGTAAAAAATATAAAAAATAGTTAATTTTATAAAATATGCTGAAATACTTTTTTTTTTTCTCATCTTGTTTTTTCAAGTCAGTTTTAATCCTTTAGTTTTTTTTAAATACCTTATCTTTTAATTTTTTATTATAATAGAGTGAATTAGTTATTTCATATTATTTTTAAAAAGATAATAATACTGCTAAAACTCATAGTTTCATTTAAAGAAATTAAAATAAAAGTTTTAAGTTTAAAAATAAAAATTAAAAAATTAGGTTAAAAGTGTATTTTACATAACCATAAAAATAACTCATTTTTTAAGAAAAATATATATTAATTTTCGGTAGCTATCTTAAACATTTAACTTAATTTTCGGTAGCTATATATATATATATTCGTACTTCAATTTAAATTATGAAATTTTTATGACACATGGTGGATGCCCTGAAGTCAGGGTCACGGAAAACCTGTCAGAGTGCAGACCGGAAATCGAGTAACAAGATTCAAATAATTGACTAAAAAAATAAAGTTAACTTAATTTCATTGATTTCAAATTTATCTTAATAAATAAAATGAAATAAAAGATAAATATATTTATTTAAAATAATATTTTTTAATCCTTTTTCAAATTACTATTTAAAATATATGAATTAATTTATTTACATTTGACTCTCACGAATTAAAAAATATATAATTTATTTTGTAAATCAAATTTATCCTATATATTCAAACTACATACTTTCCGAACCTGATCATAAATTCATTCCAGATAGTTTAGGATAAATATCTTTTTGTTTTATTTGAACATCCAGATAATTTTATTTTAAAAAATATAATTAATTATTTTATTTTAATTTTGCATATATAAAAATATTTACTGAAAAAAAACTCTTAAATATATCTGTCAAAAAGAAATGTAACTTATCATATAAGTTTAGGGTTTTGGATTGATATTTTTTTTAAGAAAAAAAAGATAAATACTATATTATGCCACAGTTAAAAAGATTTAAATTCTCTTATATTATATATTTCAAATGTTTTTTTATTATTTAATATCGAAATTATAGAGTATTTTTAAATTTTTGAAATACTACATAAGTTTTTTACTCTATATGTATTTTAGTAAATATTTTAAGGAAATTGTAAAAAAACAAAAATTGATGAATTCACTTAAGAGTTTGTGATCCACACATTAGTTCGGGATAACAAAAAGTAGGGCCCGGAAAAGAATTATTTTTTTTAAAACAAACTTATGTTTTTTTTAATATTTGATGTAAGATAACTTATTAAAAATATATTTTTTTAACATGTAATAATATATATATCTATATATATATATATATATATATATATATATATATATATATATATATATATAGTGAGATTTCTTCTCAAAATAAAATTGTGATGAGAGGAGATCTGTAATCAATATAAAATTAATTTGAACACTATTATGTGTATGAGATCAAAGTTATTATTTTGAAATTGAGGTAGAGTCTCATTTTACCATTATCTTTTAGTCATGTTTCAATATATTCATGAGTTACTAAAGATAATTTATATATATTTTACTTTCTTAATTCATTAAGAAATCATAATCGAGTAGAGTACAAGATAAATAATATTTTAAACATAAAAATTAATTCTCAAAATAAGTTTAAAATATTTTTTTCCTAAACAAAAAAAATATATATATATATATATATATATATATATATTTAATTTTTAAGCAGTGAAGGAAACTCATATTTATAAATAATAAGAAGAAACAGTTAAATTTTTAGAGTATCTTTTTTATAATTCTTACATGAATTTTACTTTCCCATTTTGCAAAATTTTAACAATAATTTAAATTTTCTAAAAAATATAATTAAAATGGATTTTAAATAGTGTTAGCTAGTTTTTAATATTATGAAGAATTTTTATAATAAGTAGAAATTATAAAACAGTAATAAGAAACAAAGGAATTATTATTATTATTATTATTATTAAGGTATTTTATCATATTGAATATGAATATATTAGAAAGAGAAACCTTTTTAATTGTGAAAAAAAAATACTTAATTTTTTCAAAATGTCAAAAAATTAAATTCAAATATGTTTCACTATGATTATAATAATTTTTAAATCTTAGTTTATCTAAAAAATAAATACATTGTCTTCGATCTATTATAATGCATAAAACTTTAAAATTTAAATTAAATTAAAATTAATAATTATATTTGAAAGGAATTCAAAACATAAATAATAAAAAAGAAAGAAATATTCAATACAGCAGAAGCCATGTGATTTAATAAATATGAAAACGTAATATTTTTTATTCAAATGGATATTTAAATATATATTATGACATTATCACTGTATAGCATCTTAAATATTTATAATATCCTTCATTAATTAAATTTGAAATTCCACTTCAAAAACAAGTGTCAGATTTTATTGTTAACTTTTGATTTGCAAGTTATTGAAGTAATGTTAAGATTATACAACCTATGTTCCATTCAAATCCATATCTTTGAAGTTTGAATCATTAGATTTTTTGTTTGTTTTAATGGTGTAAAATGAAATTTTGTAATAAAGATTATTAGTGGTGTAAAATATGAACACATGTTAAAAAAAAACTCCCCTACAAAAACCCTAATTTGAAATTAATCCATTACTTCCTCCAATTCCAACAAAAGCAACAAACCTACCCCCATAAAGCTTATATCTTCTACCCTTGAAACCCAATTTTCCCTCCCCAAAACCTTATAATCTCATACTCTCACAAAAATAGTCCATGGTTGTTCTTCAACATCCACTCTCACATCCCAAAATACGATTTTGCAAGCTCCGGTTTAATTGTCATCATACACATCCCTTTCCTTGAGATTTCATGTTCCACAAACAACCACTTCTCTCAGTATTAATATTCTACAGTTAAGTTTAAGTTTTTGTGTCTTGTTGATAGATTAAAAGGATAAAAAAATGAGTATATTTATTAAAGTAAACATTTTCAAACATAAAAATTAAATACAAAGTTAAAAGATATATTTATTTATATGATTTAAAAAAAACATGTTTATATTAAAAATAAGTATCTTTTGATTATATATTTTGTATTGAAACAATTTATTTTATACAGTTTACATTGAACGTCTAAGAAATTTAAATGGAACAAATGCAAAACTTTCTATATTACCTAACCTTACCAACTCCATCCTTGAATCAGATTTATTTCAATCATATATACATTCTATAATTTTTTACATTAACTATTAGACAACATATAAATAAATTTATAATATTTAATCTAAACATTCTATTCATATTATGAGATGAATAAAATATTAAATTAAATTTAAATTTTTATATATTTTTTTATTTTATAAAATGAATCAATAAATATATAAATTGATGAATACCTATATACCGAATATAAATGCGGGTACAATCAGATGTGGAAAATTGTTAAATGTTTCAGCTCTTTAAAAGAATAACGTGAGATGAAATACACTTTTATTTTTACTTAAAAGTGTATAATAAAAAAATGATATTAATTAATAATATTAATTTATTTAATTGTTATATTTCTAGCATCTGAAACCTTTAGCAGTCTCTTGACCTTTTTAAGATAAAATTAAAAAATAAATTTAAAAATCAAAATCAATATATATATATATATATATATATATATATATATATTATAAAATTTTATATGATAATGACCATGATTGGCCATTAAATTAAATTATCAGAAAAAAAATCACATCTTGATGTAAATTCTACTCATAGATGTAGAATCTCATATTTAATTTTTTTTTATAAAGTTATAAATTCCTGTTATAGAGTTGTTATATATGTGTTTACGGTGGAATTTCGATCGATTTCGATTCTAAGGGTGTTTTGGTCCTAATCAAAATTCTACCATGTAAGCTCTTTTTGCTTAGGCTAGCAATTTGATTTTCAATCGAATTGCGTGTATGAGAATCGAAAACTCCAGGATATCGAAAATGCTATTTTTGGTGTTTCTGTATCGAAAACATTTAGACTATCGAATCGAAAAGCAAAATATTAAATTGCGAGGAAATGTAAAATGCGAGAACCCCAAACTTGCATTATTTGTAAATAGCGAGAAATCGAAAACAAAGCAAATATAAATGACAAGAAATCGAGATTGCAAGAAAAGTAAATGACAGGAAATTGAGATTTGCAGAATGTTAAATAACGGGAAATCTAAATGCGAAACTCAAATTTTCATTGAATTGAAATGGACAAGGAATCGAAATACGAAACATAAAACCGCTGAATTTAAGATGCATCAAAGTAAATTACCAAGGAAAATACGAAAGCGGTAAATGTACTCGGTGAGCAAAGAAATCCAGTTGCCGGAAGCTTCATGGTGTTCGTCGTTTCTCCGGTAGACTTTTCACTACTCGATCCTGTTCTCTGCCAATTTCGCCCCCTGTTCCTTTCTCCTTTGCTCTATTTATAGGGCATCCTTCAAGCTTTCAGAGAGCGGTTAACGCGGCTGCTACTACGTTCTACGTGCGTATGACGGTTTATCTTCTATAGTTTCCCACGTTCTCACGATCTCAGACTTTTACCCATGATTTCAAAGCTGCTCTCTATACGTGCATTCGACTTACTTCCCTTCACAATTTGGCCAAAGTCTCGATGTCCCCATTGGCTTTCTTTACTC